AGGCAATCCACCTGCCTCAGCCTCCCAAGTGCTGGGATTACAGGTGTGAGCCACCGCTCCCAGCTAAGACATCTCTTAATTGAATGTCTTTACTGGAGTAAGAAAAAGGAACAAGCGCACACTCATACCCTTTCAGGGATCTGTATAAAGCAAAGCCCAGGGACCCATGAGTGATCTGCCCAGCTGCCCTTCTCCCTACCGGAGGCTGCGGCGGAGGCCTTGCTGCTGGCCGTGAGGCGGTAGAAGGGCGGGTTGTCACAGTGCTGGACGATGGGGTTCACAGGCTCTGTCTGCTGTAGCTCAAACAGAAGTTCTTCCATGGTTTGAATGGTGTTATTACGGCACAAGTATATGGCCACCTTTTTAATCTGAGAAGAAAAGAGAAAGCAAGGGATTAGTCCACAGATGTGCTAGGCTGGTAACCTGTTCATTTAGAAAAGTATGTCATCACCTGGGGGCTACTATCGTCATAGCTAATCTTCATGCTATCCTAGGATGAACCAAGTGCTTGGATGAAAATCCACTGCTCTTTATGTGTACACCTGACAGGAGTGTGTTGTTAAAGGCCTTACCTTTTCAAATGGCTGAGTTTAAAAGTTACTTTTGGGGCACACACAATCTATTCAAACTAAAAACTTGCCATCTGAAGTCTTATCTTCAGAAAACAATTTATTTATACACATCCTGGGAAAAAAACCCTGCTAGTTATTTTTGTTTTAAAAAAGGAATCTAGTCCCCTGTTCTTCTCTTTTCCCCTAGAAACCAAAGAGTTTTCACTGTCTCATGGTTTTACATTTTTAAAATAACTCTGGATTAAAGCTCTGAGATATCCTAGGCCTCACCATCTACCCTGAAGCCTATAAGTTACCGTGAGATTTTATGTGGCTCAAAAGAGCAGGAAGGCATAAAACCGCTCACAAAAACAACCAGCACAGAAATGCCAGCTGAGTTCAGAGTTGTAAAAATGCTGCTGTTCTGGTGATCCTACCACCTTTAAGCAGCAACAGTGAATATCAGCCATCACAGGGGACTTCTCTCTGCCTGTGTCTCTGCTCTACCACCTGAACTTGAGGAAAGAAACCCGGATATTCTGTGTTTCCATTTCTGTTCTAAGAGCATCAAGATGTAAACACAAAGCACTTTCTTTTTTCTTTTTTTTATTTCTTATAGCATAACTGTGTGCATTAATGCAATCATGGGGTGCAGTGTGCTGTTTAGCACTTTCATTAGTAATAATCTCTTGCTTCACCGAGGGTCTCTTACATAATGGGTCTAATGTCTACAGAGGGCAGCTGTTGGTGCCCATTAGAAACATAGCCACTTTCTATTTTAATAGGTTTCTGTGTCCCCAGGCTCAGAGCAGGGAGCTGACAGAGGCATCACTAGCACATGTACCCTGTGTCTGGGGGCAGGAGGGAACTTTTATGTAACATTTGGACGAGCTCATGGGAGATTAGAGTGACCAACATAACTATGCGTCTCTATTTTAGGTGAAGCACAGAGCATACGGGAGCCCCAGCAGGAACAATGGCTCCCGAAGGTGGGAGCGCCACTCACATAGGGCAGGAGAATGGTGTCGCTGCTGACCCCGCAGAGGCTGATGAGGAACTGCAGAGTGATCCTCAGGTTGTTGCTCCACTTCTCGTTGTTGGCCAGTGCGTTCCACGCGTTCTCCATCTCTGGTCCAGGAACTTCATCTCCATACTGGAGCCGGCCCAGGAGATGCACATGCAAAATGTAACGGTACAAAAAGGTCTGATTGAAAGCAGTTTTGAGGGTCACAGCCACCTCAAAATCGTAAGGGGGAAACATGGCCATTCGTCTGAAAGATGTCATCTTTCAGTAAAGAGCAATTTATAAAGTGCACATCAGTCATGCCTTATACCTAGTCATGTGACTTTTTATAAAATGTCAGGCTTCGCATTTTTTTTTTTTTTTGTAGAGACAGAGTCTCACTTCATCGCCCTCAGTAGAGTGCCATGGCATCACACAGCTCATAGCATCCTCCAACTCCTGGGCTTAGGCGATTCTCTTGCTTCAGCCTCCCAAGTAGCTGGGACCACAGGCGCCTGCCACAATGCCTGGCTATTTTTTTGTTGTTGTTGCAGTTTGGCCGGGGCTGGGTTTGAACTCACCACCCTCAGTATATGGGGCTGGAGCCCTACCAATTGAGCCACAGGCACCACCCAGGCTTCTCATTTTTATTATTATTTAAAAAGTAATGCAGTTTACCTTCATAACCTTTTTCTCTTTTTGTAGACATAGTCTCACTTTGTGCCCTGGGTAGAGTGCCATGATGTCACAGTTCACAGCAACCTCAAACTCTTGGGCTCAAGTGATCCTCCTGCCTCAGTCTCCCAAGTAGCTAGGATTACAGGCATCCACTGTCATGCTCTACTGATCTTTCTATTTTTAGTAGAGATGGGGGTCTCACTTTTGCTTAGGCTAGTCTTAAAGTCCTGAGCTCAAGCAATCCACCCACCTCAGCCTCCCAGAGTGCTAGGATTACAGGCATGAGGCACCATGCCCAGCCACCATTGTTATTATATGTGTACTTCAATAGTATTAAGTCCATTCACAAAGTTGTGATTTTATTGTATTTTATTTATTTATTTATTTTGAGTCTTAAGCTTTTGCCCTGGGTAGAGTGCTTTGGTATCACAGCTCACAGCAACCTCAAACTCTTGGGCTTAAGCGATCCTCTTGCCTCAGCCTCCCAAGTATTTGGGACTATAGGCACCTGCCATAACACCTGGCTCGTTTTTGGTTATAGTTGTCATTGTAGTTTGGCAGGTCTGTGCTGGATTCGAACCCGCCAGCTCCGGTGTATGTAGTTGGCACCCTAGCCGCTTGAGCTACAGGTGCCGAGCCAAGGTTGTGCTTTTAAATGGAAAATGCCACTGTCCCCCAGCTTGCAGAATGGTGTTTGGTTAATCCAGGGTTTTCTCTGATGACAGAGCTGTGCTGAACAAGGCATGAAGTTTCCTCTGGGCTTACCTTGGCTGTCATGTACATCAGGTTATTCAGAACCAGTGATGTGGCTTCTGGAGAGCCCCAGCCGTTCCCTTTCAGCCCATGAGAAGCAGTTACTTCTCCTTCCCGGTCCTTCACTTCGTCCTCTGGGCTGCTGGGGCTGGACCCGGGGAGGAGGAGCCTGCTGTCCACCAATTCAATGTTGTGCAGCCAGGGCAGCAGGTAGGTGAGCATGATCTGGCGCCCATTGGGGTGCGTCGTGGGGAACCGCTGGCTGACCTCTAAACAGAAGTGTAGTGATGAAAAGCAGGTATTAATTAATTGAAATAAACTAAAATACAAACATCAACTGGCAGATCAAACACTGCCTTTCATTCCCAAAGCATTTTCAAAAGGAGAAGCTTCCCAAAGCCACAGAAAGCATAAAACCAAGCGTTGTCCGCAGGCCTTTCACTCTATATCTGGTGCCTTTTCAGGAAAGACAAACAGCGCTGTGGGCCAGCCCAGATTTGGTGAAAGTGGAGGGAGGTGGAGTCCGTCTCAGTTCAAATCCCTGCTAGGGAAGGGATATCTCAGAGTGGGCAAAACAAGCGACTTGCCCAGAAGGGCATGCTCCTCAGTGTGCTCATCTGTGTCATGGCTGATGGGGTCCCACACTAGGGTATTGTACAGATTAAAAGATATAATCACTATGTACGCAGAATGCTTAGTGCAGTGCTCACCATCCAGGTGGCTCTTAGATAGGGTGGTTAGAATTATTCTCACGATGATTATCTCTCCCTAGCCCAAAGTCTTACAAAGTGTATTCAATGAAACATTATTATTTTTTTGAAACAGTCTTACTCTGTTGCCCAGGCTAGAGTGCCGTGCTATCAGCCTTGCTCAAAACAACTTCAAACTCCTGGACTCAGGCGATTCTCCTGCCTCAGCCTCCTGAGTAGCTAGGAGTACAGGTGCCTGCCACATGCCTGATTAATTGTTCTATTTATAGTAGAGATGGGGTTTCACTCTTGTTCAGGCCAGTTTTAAACTCAGCTAAGCAATCCTCTCACCTCAGCCTCCCAGAGTGCTAGGAGCACAGGTGTGAGCCACTGAGCCTCGCCAACATTTGTTGTTGTTTGTTTGTTCGTTTGTTTGTTTTGAGACAGAGGCTCAAGCTGTTGTTCTGGGTAGAGTGCTGTGGTGTCACAGCTCATAGCAACCTCCAACTCAGCTTAGTGATCCTCTCACCTCAATTTTTCTATTTTAGGTAGAGGTGGGGGGTCTTGCTTTTTCCTCAGGCTGGTCTTGAACTCGTGAGCTCAAGCAATTCACCCGCCTTGGCCTCCCAGACCAGGATTTGTTTTTAAAAAGTGAGATGTGGACCTCCAAGAGGAATAAGCCCAGTTTACGGGATCTATTTAAAAATTACTGAGCATAAAGAAAGTGCCTGCTGAGTGCTGCGCTTCCCTTTGTGAGATCTGTGAGTCACAGATCTGTGTGTCTGTGAGGGTACCGCTCTGTGTTCAGCCCAGTCATTTCACCATTACGTTCTCAGATAGCATTGCTGCACTGTGTCACTGCCAGTAGCATTTAATTTTACAATCTGAATAAGCTTTCTACAGATATAGAAGCACGGCTTTATGTATATGCAGTAGGCTGTGAAATAATCTCTTATTTCTCACATCTAGAGAAGAAAGAATTTTATCCTCAGGGAAATTAGAAAGCTTAGTCCATGCAGGTGCCACTGTAACCTCACTTGGAGAGCTCCTGGCTGCTAAACAACAGAATCACACTGATGCCGGAATTATACCAACATAAGCTACTAGATTCCTGAAACAGCAGCTTTCATTGATTTGGCCACAGGTATTTGGAGAATACTCTGCTTGAGCTGAGGAGTTTGAGAACAGCCTGAGCCAAGAGTGAGATCTGGTTTCTACTAAAAATAGAAAAACTAGCTGGGAATCATGATAGTCTCAGCTGTTTGGGAGGGTGAAGTAGGAGGATCCCTTTAGCCCAGGAGTTTGGAGGTTGCTATGAGCTATGATGATGCCAGAGTGAGACTCTGTTTCAAAAACAAAAACATTACAGACTTTTTTTTTGTAGCAATAGATAAGCATAATTTGCTTATCTATTATGTTAATTCCATTTGTCTGTTGGTTATGACGTCTGAGAGGGTGGAGATGTCTGTCTGGGGTATTCCAAGCATCTAGGTAGCTGTTAGACAGTAAAGGTGTCTTTGAAAGGGAAAGAGAAAAAAAAATGCCACAGACACACAAACAACCCTATATTCATCCTCTAGAAACAATTTAAATAAAATGTGAGCAATGTCAGTGGGATGCTTCATATCTTTTCTGGCTCCTGTGGGAGGGACCTGAATAACTTGCCTGGCTACTTACAAGTAATTAGGTCACTTGAAATCACAGGCAATAAAAATCTCACCGCAAAGTTTATCATAGTAAAGGCAGTAAAAGCAAGAGTTATATTATAACCTCCTAATTTTTCCAGGTTACTTTTTAACCTATTATAACCTCCTAATTTTCCCAGGTTACTTTTTTTTTTTTTTGCAGTTTTTTGCCGGGGCTGGGTTTGAACCCACCACCTCTGGCATATGGAGCCAGTGCCCTACCCCTCTGAGCCACAGGTGCTGCCCCCCCCACCCCAGGTTACTTTTTATAAGTTATTCTTCATAAAATCAAAATAGTCATTCTTGAAGAAAATATAGGCTCAGGCAGCTTGCAATTCATGAGACGAGCAGCTGATGTTGTTCAGCTCACTGTACTGTTTACCTCCTCTTTCCCGAATTATGAGCCTCCCCCAGTGTACTAGCTTGTCCCTCTCAGTTGATAAACATGCTCCCATCTCTCGCATCCTTAAAAGCTCCTCCTCTGACTCTGAGCTCCAGCTTCTCTTTTTTCTTTCTATCTCAGCCAGGCCACCGCAGTCTGGTTTCTACAGCTACCTTGCCATGGAAACTATCTACTATCACCAACACATCATGAATGCCAGAGGGTCATTTTTAGATGGCATCTTCTGGGACCTCTCTACTGCACTGGAGGCTGAGGAATGCACACTCTCACCTGCTACATCCTGTTTTTCTTCTAGGTTTCCATGAAACTGTATCCTGGGGGTTTTCCGCCCATTTCCTTCTCTGTCTCCTTGCTCTTCTGTAGCCCAGTCTGCAAAAGTTGGCTGTGCACACCATTTCTTTGGCTGTGTGCTACTGTGTTTCCCTGAAAATAAGACCTACCCAAAAAATAAGCCCTAGCAGGACTTCTATGCATTTGTTAAATATAAGCCCTACCCCAATAATAAGACCTAGTGATGGGCATGGCTATGCAGCATATCTGTATAGCCACGCCATGCATTTTGGCGCAGAGAGGAAGACATCCCCTGAAAATAAGCCCTAGTGTGTCTTCTTGAGAAAAAAATAAATATAAGACAGTGTCTTATTCTCGAGGAAACACGGTTCTCCATTCCTGCTCTCGTCTGCACCTGTGGCTCTACCACCTTCAGTCCTTCTGTGAGTCTCAGGCTAGTCCAGGCCTGTCGGTACAGAGGCCAACAAAGACCTAGCCTCACTATCCCAGGCTGAGCTACTGATCTCTGCCTCACCTGAAATCTTCCTGAGCATGTGTTCCTGTATGGGTGGAGGGTTATCACCACGGACGTCCCAGTACCACACCAGGCACTCTCTCTGTACACGTTTCTGGCAGCTTTTGACTTCAGTCTCTCTCCTCCACTCTTACTAGGTTATCTTCATTCAGGCCCCGAGTATTTACCATTTCCTCCTTGGACTTCTGACGTTGTTTCTTATCTTGTCTCCTCTTTGTAGACTGGATATATTCTAATCCACCCTCCACATTGCAGCCAGTCTCTCTAAAATGTATTCTGATCTTGTCACCCCCTTTTCCTGTTTGAAGCTCATCAAAGGCTTTCAGAATCCCATCAGCTTGGTTAGATGCCCTCCCTGATCACGAAGCTCTGAAGTAGGGTTCAGTGAGCACATGTGGAAGGTCACTGGCTTACAAACTCTTCATGGTGCAACTCAAGGCCTTCCAAGATGGGACTTCTGTACCTCTGTCTGTCCATGGCCATTTCTAACTTTCTACCCTCTTTGCATGTTCTCTCATCCAAATTGGCCTCTAGGTGATCCTCTGAATGTGTCACGCTCTTTTATACCTCTAAGGCAATGCATATGGTATTTTCTTGGTTGGTCATTTCCACTATCTGCTTGTCTGTTCGGTATATTTCTACTCTTCTTTCAAACTGCAGCTCAGATATTAACTTCTCTGGGAAATCTTTCCTAATACTCCTGGCCCAATAATTGGTGACTCCCTCGGTATCCATTTCATACATTAAGCACCTGTTTTAAAAACTGCACTTGCTTCTCTATATCAAAATCACATGACTGGTCATCTGTCTTGGCTACTAGACTGTGAACTTCTGATGGGAGAGACTGTTTTCTTCACCTCCTGTATTCCTAGGACCTAAGCACAGTGCTTAGCACAAAGACAGCACTCAAATCTTGGTTGAAGTGAATAAAAATAAAGTTTAGTTTTTTGAGAAGAGAAGTGCCTTACTAGAAAGATTTTTCTTGGGTCTCTCCACTGCTTAAGGTACTACACAAAGAGGTGACTAACTCTGCCTCAGGTGGGTGGAAAGTTCGGTGGAAAGTAGAGGTGGAGTTTAAATTAGATCTTAAGAATGGGTGAAGCTGGGGCAGCGGGGAGGTCAGGGCCATTCCCAGCAAAGGGAACAGCAGATACAGAAGCAAGGAGGAAGTGAAATTAGAGTAGAGGATTCTTACATGAAAAGGTAGAAAGCAAGTTTGAAAAAGGAGAATTTTTTTCCTTAGTTGGAGAGTTCTGTTTTCTTTCAGCACTGGCTTCAGAGGAAGACAAATCTAGATTTAATTGTGGCTTGGCTGCTCTTGAGCAAATAGTTTAACATCTCTAAGCCTTAGTTTCTCATCTATAAAATAGGGATGATAGTGGTGGTGGTGATAATTCCATGCCAGGATTGGGCCAATTGCTTGGTATTCTTAGCCCAAGTTAATCCTCAAGCACCCTATGAGATAGTTATTATTATTGCAGATGAAGAAATGGAGACTTGCTTGAGGTTAAATAGCTAAGAGAACGGCAGGGCCAGGGTCTGAACTCAGGCTGCTTGACTCCAGAGCATCTGTTCTAACCACTATACTACAACAGGGTTATAGAGATTACATAATAAATGCAATGCACATAAAGTGCCCAGTACAGAGTCTGGCACATATTAACCAGTCACTAAATGCAAGGTGTTACTATCAGCAATTGTTTTAAGGACAATGGGTAGAGAAATTTTGAGTTGAGAAGTTTGCATAGTGAGTGCAAGTTGAATTGTAGTCAGGGATGCAGAGGCAGGTCTGAGGAGGATCTAGACAAAGCAGTGTTGATGATGAGAGCTCTGTGCTCTCTCCATTTCTGACCTCCCCTGTGCCTGGGGCTCTAACCCTTTCTCATCTTTAAAAAATAAGTAAAAAGCTTGGCACAGTAGCTCATGCCTGTAATCCTAGCACTCTGGGAGGCTGAGGTGGATGGATTGCTTAAGCTCAGGAGTTCAAGATCCAGTTGAGCAACTGTGAGGCCCTGTCTCTACTAAAAACAGAAAAACTAGCCAGACATCATGGCAGGTGCCTGTACTCCCAGCTACTTGGGAAGCTCAGGCAAGAGGATCACTTGAGCTCAGGAGTTTAAGGTTCCTGTGAGTTAAGATGCCATGGCACTCTAGCCTGGGGCAGCAGAGTGATACTCTGTCTCAAAAATTATTAAATAAATAAAACAGAAATTTATTTTTATTCACTTCAAAAGAGGATGAATTCAAGAGACCAAAATGCTACTACATGAGCTTACGCAAGAAGTTAATTGACAAATGCAAAGTATTTTAAAGTGGATTTTCACAAAAGTTATTCATGAAGATTGATCATAAAGTGTGCCAAAAATCAAACTCCCAACAACTTTTCTATGTAGCAACACAGGAGGCACAAAATGCCAACACTATTCCCACTACCAACAAACAACTCACAAAAGTTGTACATGTATGAGGAAGGCCAATTAAATTTGCAAACTCATCCTAGAAAAAGCGCTACATACCTTACTGCTGAGAATCAATCAGTATGGTCACTTTTGAGGTACTCCCCTTGGGAAGCTATGCACCAAAGCCAGCGCCTCGTCCACCCTTCAAAGCAATTTTGGAACTCTATTTCTGGAATAGCCATCAGGGCTACAGTCAGTCACCTGATGGCCAGGGCAAGTACTTTGAAGGTGACTGTAATGATATTCAGCAAATGAGGCATATAGCACTTTTTCCTAGAATGAGTTTGTGAACTTAATTGTCTGACCTCATTCAAATTATGTTATACTTCCCATATTTAGTTTCTTTGGGAAATTAATTTCTTAGGGAAATTTACATATATAATACATGTAGAGGTACCTTCTGCATCTGTCATATCTATATACACCTACACTATTTTACAGAAACAATTTTTACATATTAAAGACATTTTATTATTTACTTTCATATGTAACTGGATTTAGCCCATAGCAATGCTGATCTAAAAATTCAGCATCACTAATTCTGACTCCAAAGTTAAACTACAATTTGAAAAGAAAAGTTACTCATCACAAAAGAAATAATCATCTATGCCATTATTGACTACTGGGCAGTACCTGAGAAGAGAGGGAGAGTGAGCTCAGGATACATCCTGGCCAGCTCACAGGACAGGAGGGCGAGTGACACGCTGTAGAGGGGGGGCAGTGGCCCGTGTGTCCCATACAGAATACTGCCAGGTCTCTGTTCAGCGACTTTCTTTGAGTATACAAAAAGCTTTGCTTCAAGTATCTGTAAAGAGGTAGCAAAGTAAGGAATGGTATGTAGAACATGAGCTGGACATCTCAGGAGCATTTGAATTTAATAGCGATTAGAAGGAACACAGCTACCTATTTTCTTATAATAGTATAGTATTTAAGGTAAAACATCAACTACTAGGTTTACAGAAGATTATATAATGGTTTTCTCACTCTTTATACCCCTCAATATACGAATAAATGAAACCTTTCAATAAACAGCAAATTAGTGATCAACTACCATTACTATTTTCTGTGCTCAAGGGTGAATGATGTTTTCTGTGCCAGGAAATGATACGTGCCTGCATGAGCTGCATGGAGATTTCGTAAATCTCTCTGTTGGTGTCAGAGGCCTTGAATAGAACAAGGTTTAACAATGTCACTATGTCGAAGGGATAGTTCCTAAAAAATAAATAAATAAATAAATAAATAGCATGGTTTATAAGACAGCATGGCTGGGAATCCTGATAGATCATTCCCTCTCCCAGTTCTAGATGCCACCCTGACCTCACTTGCCAACATCCCCACCCCCATTCAGCCATTTTTTTTTTTTTTTTTTTTGCCTTCTTCTTTTGCCATTTATCAGTAGAGGGTTAGGGTAAAGCAAATGGACTTTATTTTTTTTTAAATGAAATATTGTAACACCAGGATAAAAGAAAACAAATATCTATCTGATGCAAATAGATTTTAGTAAAAGCCAAATTACAAGTAAAAAGGACATAAGAGAATGAATGTGCTAAACTTCTCAAAAGCTCACTGAATTAACATTGTCATTTGATCCCCTAACTTTATTAGCGCCTGTTTTCAGGAAGAACATAACAAAGTACTGCTGATACAAAGTTTGTGAGTCTGGTCTCTATCCTTAAGGAAGGCTTACAGTTTAGTTATAGAGACAACTGTGTACAGTCTCCTTCTGATGAGTGTTGTGGTGGGAATATCCACAGAGCCCACAAGAATCCTGATGAGGGACGTCTGATGTGGGGTTAGGGAATGCTTGTCTGAGGAGGAAATAAATAAAATGTTTCAAAGCACCAGGAGCCATTGGCCAGGCCAGGAAAAGGTAGTGTGGGATATCCTAGGCAGAGAGAACAGCATTTTGAAAGATTCTAAGACTGAAATAATTACACCTTCTGTAAAAGGAATTTCCATGTAGTAGACTGAGTGAAAGAAATAAGTAGAAGAAAAGAAGGAGATGGGGCTAGGGTGGTTGGTGGGTTTGGGAGATGGCCAGTCCATGGTGTGGACTTGACCCTAAGAGTTCCAGAGAAAGGCTACAGGATTTGCAGCAGGGGTGGGGGGCAGTGGCAGTTGTTTCTCAAGAATCACTGGCCCCCCAACCTTGAATTTCTCGATAATTGTAAGAAATAACTTCCTTTTCTTTATAAATCACCCAATTCCAGGTATTTTGCTACAAGCAGCAAGAAAAGGACTAAGACAATCACTCATCTAGAAAGGCACATTCCACTATGAAGACACCCATTTTACAAGAACTGTGGTGAGGAAAGATACTGAAAATTGGTTAAATCTATAAAAAGTTGTCCATTTTTTACTTTTAATATTACTCAAAAATTATTTAATGATACTCATGATATATGAATACCTTTTTCTTCTAAAAAGATTCAAGCAACACACTTATTATTCACTAGCTGTTGGAGAGAAAAGCTATGAAATAATTCCCTCCAGCTAACTCTGAAGATGGTTCACTCACAAGGCTGGCAAGTGCTGCTGGTTGTAGATGGGTGTGGAGAAGAAAATGTAGAAATATTCCATCTCCTTTCTCTCTCCCAAGTGATATATTCCTATCCCAGTGGCAATCACTGTCAATATTTTGGTATTTCAACTCTTTTCTAAGCATATATACAAATATGTGCACCTAAATACCCATCTCCCAATGCATAGGATTTTAAACATAAATGTAATTATACTACCTGCAGGTATTATTTGCTGATTTTCTTTTTGAGACAGAGCCTCAAGCTGTCCCCCTGGGTAGAGTGCCCTGGCATCACAGCTCATAGCAACCTCCAACTCCTGGGCTCAAGCGAGTCTCCTGCCTCAGCCTCCCAAGTAGCTGGGACCACAGGCACCCGCCACAAAAAAAGGCTATTTTTAAAAAATTTTTATTTATTTTTTATTTTGGTTGCAGCTGTCATTGTCATTTGGCGGGCTGGGGCTGGATTTGAACCCACCACCTTAGGTGTATGTGGCTGGCACCTTAGCCACTTGAGCTACAGGTGCCGAGCTGCTGATTTTCTTTAACACCAAACTATGAGGTTCATTTTAGTCTTTTTCACAGGTGCTGAGTATTTCACAGTATGGATTATAAGTAACTGCTCTTACAGTGTATGCTATGGTGTGACACCTAGATCCTTCTTTCAGGATGAGGCACTCCATCCTCCACCTACAGTTGTTGGCAGCTTATTTCTCTCAGTAATTACCTCCAGCCAGAGAGCTCTGCTTAAGCCAAGGTCACGCCTGCTCTGCAGCAGCCCCCGTGGGAATGACCAAGGCTTCTTTTTCTCCGCCCAGTCCTACTTCCTTCATTTCTCCATAGATGATAACCCCAAGGGCACATTTTACTAGATCACCTACCCTCAAATCTCCACCTCAGAGTATGTTTCCTGGGGAATGCAACACTTAACATACATCGATAGACATTTAGCTTATTTTTAATTTTTTGTAATGTTATTACAGTGCCACAAATATCACATGTACAAGTGAAAAGACTCTTAGAGAGGTCATGTTGGGTCAAAGGGCAATTTTAAAATTTTAGTAGATACTGCTATATTGCCTTCCAAAATAGCTTGACTCCTTTGCACTCCAAAAATGATTACTTCTCTTGAACTTGTTTTAAGTGAATCCAGCATAAGTTTAGTCTATCTGATGGGAAGTCAGGGGCTCCTTCCAGATGATGGTAGTGATGATGATGACAGTAAGAATAATGATGAATGATGGATGACAAGTGATATAATGTGCTTACTTTGTGCTAGTTACCTGATTTGTTATCTGATCTTCACAACAAGCTCTAGAGAAGAAGGTGAGTATTTGCCTGAGGTCATGTAGAAGTGGTAGTCCAGACTCCTACATATGGCTGACTCCAAGGAATTCAAGACTTAAATAATCAAGCATTTTTCCAAAGTACTCTCAGCCTCTTAGACAGCCTCTTGACAGTACATGTTATAGCCAGTGACATATTGAATTTCTACAAATTGCAACGTCCAAAAACAGACTTTTCTGACTTGAGAAAGCAGAAAAGAAGCTTCCTCTATGCTCCATAGTAGCAGGGAAGCCTTACTTACATTTTCTGTCTTCTGACACTGGGATTTTATATAAGAACACTGAAAAACATTGCTGAATCGTTGGGGATTTGAAGGCAGGAAAGGGGTAAACAAAGCCTCCCTTATACAGGCAGGGCCATGCCCTTGACCATTCACCTTGTTGCTTAAGACTGAGCTATGAAATTCATGGGGAGCAATGCTGAAAGAAATAATAGATACAGAAAAGAAAAGCAACCCAGAGGAGGAAAAAATGTGAAAGATTTCAAAAATAGCAAAAGAGCACAAATAAAATACATGTACTTAGACGTCTAAAATAGGCTTATAAATGGAATCTTATGCCTTTCAGTATTTAACTATTAAACATAATAGTAAAATAAAGACAGTTGTGATCATACAGAATAGAAATCAAATGATAAAATAAACACAGAAGGTAGATATGACTCAAAAAGTAAATAAGAAATAAAATTAGAAGAGAGGAGATTTTGAAGAATTTGGGAAATTCCCACCAGCTCTGAGTTATTTAGAACTAAATGACAAAGCTCAGGATAGCTTTGAGGTATTCTGAAAAGGAATAGATCTCACTAGTCAATAGAGGGGATTATTTCACAGCTTTTCCCCTTCAACAACTAGTGAATAATAAATGTTTATAGGGTGCTTCCCATGTGCTAGAATTTACACCAGTTGGTTTTATTTAATCCTTACCATCCATATCATCACTTCTATTCTACAAATGAGTAAGCATTTGTAGTAATTTGCTCATGAGCACACGGCTTGATTAGAGGGAGAGTAAGGATCTGAAGAAACCAGGACAGTATAGTATGTTTCCAGAGCCCAAATTCCCAAACTCTGTTCTCTGGAAATATTCCAGCTGGCTGATAAGCTGGCTGACCAAATAAAGCTAGTTATCACCAGTTAGGAATATGATTGAAATTTGTGTATTATAAGCTTCACGTGTCTTCCTTGTTAATAGATGGATAGTATTCCCTTAAGAAATGAGCATTTACTTTAAAAAATTCCACTCTGCTAGGATTTAAATTAGGAAAGGCTTATACAAGGTTAAGGTAAAATAATAATAATTATTAATAATAATTTAAAACCATGACAAAAAGTAAACTCAACAAAACTCTAAAGCAACTATTAAACGTATTTCAACAGCATGTTGGAAGGTGAAAGTAAAAAATAATGCAATTTTTAACTATTTAATTAAATGTGAAGAGAATTCTGATGAATTAAGCTAGTGATTGGAAATGGCCTATACCTTTTTTAATATACTATTTACCTTGATTTATAACCTTGGAAAGTCATTTAGTCTCTTTCTCAATTTCCTTATTTATTCCATACTAATCTCATTAGGAGTTGAGGGGAAAATTAAGAAGAACACACACAGAAACCCAATAATTATTTGAACTAAAGCTCCCTGACTAGTAAGCAATTTATTTTTGTGCTAAATTATAGCAGTGAGCTGAATTTAATAGCTTTTAATCAAGCATATTAGCATATTTTATGAAAAATTCCACAAAATTAAAATTGTTAATTCTACCATCTCTTCAGAAACACATTTTTTTGAGCTTGTATACTCGTTTCTGATTTTTATACTGTGTTCCGACTTTGTCTCCCAATATCATCTGAATCAGAGTACAGCATAGTGATACAGTTTTGACTAGAGACCAGTGAGTTCACAGTACACATGTGTGTTCACACACATGCACACGCACACACACAGAGTTCTTTACTTCTGTAAAGAAACCGAAACAAAGAATGTAGAGAACCAATTTTTTCCTGTTGTCACTTAAGGTACATTGACGTATTTCCCATGTAAAAATGGCTAATTCCTTCTTTTAAAACTAAAGGTAGAAAATTTAAATCAGTAAGAGCATTACAAAAAACAATCTTTTAGGTATTCTAGTATCAGTTATAAGTAGTTCCTTAATAAATGAATCTGCTTATAAACCGTCATAATCCTCTAAAAATAAATCCAGCACGAATCATTCCTATTTGAAAAGGAGGTAATTATTTAGTTTACAAGAAGGATTCTTTGTTTTAGAAAATGACTTGTAGAAGATACCCAAGAGGTAACTTGTTTGAGAAATTTAAAAGATGATTTAGTCTGCATATGACTCTTCAGAAACACATTTTTTAAGCTAAGGTATTGACTTACTTAATAGACACAAACTCAACAAAATTAAATGAAGCAAAAGCTAAAAACAACAGAATTGCTTCTGGAAAAGAAGTGCTGTGAACATAAGCACAGAGCTGAAGCCTACGGGAGGCCTGCTGGACTACACAGGCTAGGAATTTATGCGGAAAGAGCAAATTTAAACCAGAAGTGAAACTTTAAATTCTGAACAGGCTCTGTGGTGACAAATGGTGGAAGTGCTCACTACTCTCTGGACAGTTCCATGCCAGCCGTGTTATTCCCTGGCATGATGCCCTTCCTTTGGAGTAGATGAGTGTCAGCAGTGTAAACAGATAGGCAGTATTTGTCTAAGACGCCAAAATAATTAAGAATGACACCTTAAAGTATCTAATCGGAAGATAGCGGCTTTTATGACCCAACATTTTTGTGACAGTATTGAAATTAAGACTATATTGCTAACTTCATAAAACATTTATTTGTACTCCCTAAGGAAAAATACCTCGATTTATTTGGAGAGATACTGTGTAATCCTTTATGAAATGGCCATGCCATGAAATAAATTTGACTAGGGTAATTCAAGCCAAGTTCACTAAGAGAAGGGCAGCAAAGATGTAAAAATTGTATTACTCTTATTTTTTTCAATAAGGTTCAAGTCGTAGATCCTAAATACATTTTTGTAAATCAAAGCATTGTGTGAACAAAACTTTATGTTTAGAGGCGTCCTCCAACTATGGCCCACAGGCCACATGTGGCCTGCCTAGGACATTTATCCAGCCCGCTGGGTGTTTTTGCTGCCGCTGCCTGTCCTGCTTAGCAGCCAACTCATCCCGAGGCCACAGTCCGGCCCTCCAACAGTCTGAGGGACAGTGAGCTGGCCCCCTGTTTAAAAAGTTTGAGGACCCCTGAAAATCTTGAACTATCTGAAAATTTAAAAAAACACTGGAGAATGATTTTTGCAACCATGTTCTTTTTTGTAATGTCCTGTAGGTATGTTTTTTCGTAACGCTCATATCAAATAAAACTCATTGGAAAATCAGATGGTTCAGGATGCTGTTATATTTGTCTGCTATAACTTTTATGGAGATGAAAGTTTGTAATAAAAAGTCTAGTACTAAGATTACAGAAAATGAAAGCTTTAGGCATGAAATGTTACCTATTATCTTTATAAAAGAAAGATAAAAATTTTACAAAGAAATTTGTCTTTTTAAAAAGGATACTCATTTTAGGTTTGTTGACAGTAGATGTCTTCTAAAATATTGTTCTTATTTAGACCCATAATAAGTTGGAATTTAGAACTAATTCACTTTTATTCCCTTAATTTAGTACAAAATTTAATTAAAGCGTAAAGCTGACAGTCTATGTGAATCTTTTTTTAAAAAGACTTGAGCTGCATTCTCTCAATTTTCTAATACATAACCTCTTTGGGGGATAGGTTATGCAACTGAAGGAATCCTCATTAACTCTTTCATCTTAGCTGTGAAATTATTTCACTCAATAAATCATAACACTAAATAGCATCACTGAATGATTAATTTATGTAATAAGGGCAGTGGTTCTAAAAGCATCATCTATAGCATCTGGGATGTCACATTTTCTTCTGATATTTTCCTTTCTAAAATTCTGAACATTAACAAATTTTAGGCCACTTCTTGGGTTTGGTCTGATCTAAAGATGAGTGAAGAGCTTACAGTTCATCTTTGTCACAAACATTTCTAGACATTCCTTTAGTTCATTTAATGTACCGTCTTTGTCATTTTCAAATCCTGCTGTAACATTTCACTGTGAAATTCCAGGGAATTAAAAAGAAGGGTGCTATAACAACAAATCATTTTCTTGACAAAATGAGAAAAATCAATATAATTGCAAACTTCTAGGGAGCAGTTTATCTGCTGAGGACTTCTGAGCCATATTTTATTCCCATGGAATTTACTTGGTCAGATAATTGCAGCACAATCAGCTCTCAAACATTGCTATTACAACTGCCACTGACCACTGCCTGCAGAAACTCATACCTGCTTCCGCACACAGTTGCTATGGCTTTGAAGCATCCAGATGCAAGCTGGTAGGAACCCGTGTAGCATCGGTCAATTGCCCAATTGAAAAGATTTATTTGATCAGGATTAAGTTCCAGTAGTAAGACAACAACTTCGCAGCCAAGCTGATGAACCTGAACACAAAGAGCAAATCAATATTATTCATATTTAATGAAAGAATCTCCTAGAGAAAGACACAAGATTAAGCCTAGCCAATACAAAACTGAGTGACAGAAATTTTTGCTTAATTTTTATGTCATGTATTCTTTAAGAGGGTGTAATGTTCAACTGAAAACTGAAATGTACACACTAAATTTGACTCTCAATTTTTAACTCAGAAAACATGAAGAAGACTTCATTCGGTATGTTTTCCTTTTGTGTTTAAAATCTTTTTGAAAAGTATGTGTATTTGGTTAAAAAAATCTAATATACCAAGAATATCCTCTATGTAAACAAAGTCTTTCAAGGAAAAAAGCAGAGGGAATATGATTGTGAGGCTTGATTACTAAATATACTATATGAAGCTTAGCTGCTGAGCTTTCAAAAAGTAATGCAGCTTTAATATACATTTCTTCACCAGGGAAGAAACAACCATATGAGACAGAATTAATAGGACACTAAATTGATAATTCCTGAAGTTACTGTCAAATACTGACAGTGAGTATGCACATTTTTCCAGGAGAAGCCAGAATATTCTATTCTTAGTTTTGCCAGGAGTTTTTTCATAAATAAATGTAGAATGCTTTCTTTGCATCTGAGATGATCATATATTTCCTTTTTAAGATTTTAGTAATGGAACTAATATACTAATGAACTAACAGATATTTGAATATTAAACCAACCTTGAAGTCCTTGAATAAACTCAATTTGATCATGATGAACCATCTTTTTTACACATCATTGGATTCTGTTTTCTAGTATTTTATTCAAAGTTTTAAAATCTATACTAATGAATGATATATTGCCTTTTAATTTTCTTTCTTGCTACATAATTTTCTAGTTTAATTATCAAGGTTATGCTGTCGGTCTCATAAATGTAGTGGGATGTAGTTCCTCTTCATCTGTTTTCTCTTTTTCTTTATCTGTTTTATCTTTAAGCATTTGTACTAAATCCATGCAATTTGTTCCTTAAATGTTTGGTAGAATTGATCAGTTAAGCAATCTAGTCCTAAAGTTTTGTTTCTTTAAGACTTTCAATTTATTAATTCAATTTCTTTATTACTTATTTGGCTATCTTGGTCTTCCTTTTCTTTTTCTATTGTGTTTTTCTAGGAATTAGTCTATTTTATTTAGATTTTCAAATTTATTGCCACAAAGATGTTCATATGTTCTCTTTAATTTTTATGTCTATTGCGTCTGTAGTGATGCATCCCCTTTATAGTTCTGATATTAGGTACATGTGCCTCTCACTCCTTCTTGCTCATGGTCCCTGTCACTCTGTCTTTCTCTCTCTTACTTGATTAGACTTGTCATGAATGTCTTAACTTTATTAGTCTTTTAACAAATTCAACTCTTGACCTTGTTGAACATTACAATTCTTTTCTCTATTATTGATTTTTACTCTTATGTCTATTATTTCCTTCATTGTAATTTTTTGTGAGTTTGATATGCTACTGTTTTTCTAACGTCTTGTGATGGATGCTTAGGTCATTGATTATCAGCCATTTTTTTCTTTCTAATACATGTATATGCATTTAAGGCCATACATTACACTCTAAGCAAGGCTTTATTAATGGCCCACAAATTTAATAGGTAATATTTTCATTATTCTTCAGTTAAAAGTATTTTCCTGTTTCCATTGTTATTTATTCTTTGACTCACTTGTTACCTGGGGGTATATTTTTAAATATCATTTTGTTATTTAATATTAGTTTAATGCTACTGTGATTAGAGAAAATAGTCTGTGTCAGGGTTCCCTCGTGGATACCACTTATCAGGCCCAGGACTGGTTCCTGCAGACACTATGGTGTTATCTCGCTCACGGCTTAGGAACAATTGCTCCTAGGTGCCTGAGGGCTATTTACTTTAGCTGAAGGGAGAGAGAGAGAGATAGTCTTTGAGAGAGTAAAGCAGTCTTCTGGGCTCAAGCGAGTCTCCTGCCTCTGCCTCCCAAGTAGCTGGGACCACAGGCGCCCGCCACAACGCCCGGCTATTTTTTGGTTGCAGCGATCATTGTTGTTTGGCGGGTCCGGGCTGGGGATTCGAACCCGCCACCTTAGGTGTACGTGGCTGGCGCCTTAGCCGGTTGAGCTATAGGCGCCGAGCCAGAAAGATAGATCTTAGTCTTTTGCAGAGCTTAGTGATCTTCAGCAGAGAGACACTGTGCTGGCATTCTGCAGGCAGGAGAAGTGACAGGGTGAGAGTGAGCAGGTCCGTGGTAGAATGTGCCTTCTCCTCCAGCCGAATATAAGGCAGATCTCATGCCTCTGAACACCACAGGTATAAAGACTGCCAATTCACCAATGCTCTCATCTCGTGAGCGCTCATGCTTGTTAGGAGAGCTAAATCCCTCTCCATGCCCTTTTCCCCAAGGTGTTCCATTATTGAGCTATATAGGTATTTCTTATAACTCTCACTCCTCCTAGCCATAGGCTATATGGGCTGCTACAAGTCTATATCATTTCAGTGATTTGAACTTTTTTGAAACGTGATTTCTGACACAATTTGTGGTCAATTTTGGAGGATATTACTATATTTTTTCATTCTGATGCATCACATTGTAACAGGAGCAACACATAGACCCATTCTGTGTGGTTGACATGTGAAAAGTTTGTGTTGTGAACATAGCTTATACATCTCAGTGACTCAACTGAGACAGGACACTAAAAACACTTAAAAACAACATATTTTTGCCTAGTACTTACGCGTAAATCTTGACAAGCCAGAATGTTATCAAGCCACTTATACAGGTAGCCATCTGGGGAAAGCCCCACATTGTCAAAGACAGGACCGCAGCACAGTACTGCAGACATTGCCTAATGAGAATGACACAACACAGCATGAAAATACAACCTGAAATAACCTAATGGTCCCTAACAGATTCTGGAAAACATAAAATCGGATTTATAAATGATGAAGGCCCTTTAAAAGCAGTTTTATTTCCCCAAGATTTCAAAACATTCTTTAGTAGATTTAGTAAGACATATCAGATTCAAATTTGGCTTTTTTTGTTTTTAAAGACAGAGTCTTAGTCTGTTGCCCATGCTAGGGTACAGTGGGAGTCTTTATAGCTTATCATAACCTGAAACTCCTGGGCTGACGCAGTCATCCTGAATCAGCCTCCCTAGTACCTGGGGCTACAGGCATACACCACCATGTCTGGCTATTTTTTATGGGTTTTTTTTGTACAGATGGGGTTTTTCTTTTACTCAGGTTGATCTCAAACTTCTAGCCTCAAGAAATCTTTCCACCTTGGCCTCCCAAAGTGCTAGGATTACAGAAATGAGCCACTGTACCCGGCCTTTGACTCTTTTTTGTGAGTTAAAAACCATAAATTTAGCTTTGTGGACACATAACTTTTTACCCATAAAAACTCTGTATGATGAGTATTCAGAATGAAATAACCATTTCACAATATTTAAAATAAACTTTCCTTCAATGATTTCAAGTGAATTCTGTTTATAGGATGAATATAGTGTTTCATATTTGGCTTTTTTGACAAAATTTGGCTAATATACTGACCTGACAAACTATGAAACATAGAAAAATAAGAAATTATGATCCTTAATCAAAGGTAAAGTAAATTAAAAATATAAACTTTAGTTCCTCTGAAGGCAGGGAAAGAAATCAAGGGAAAGGAAGAGAAGAGAATCTGGATTAAGTCTGTAATTGGCAGGTCCAACTGACTGCCAGGGCCATAGTTTAAATTAGCTCCACTGATGTGAAGTCTGCCTGAGAGTCAGTAACTTATGATATAAATGACAGAGCAGATATACAGTTAATTTTCTAAAGGAAATTATACTGAAAGGAGTCATGCTTCTGAAGATACTGAATAATTCTAGTAGGATAGAAATTTATATCTGGCAGTTTTCTAGGACAGAAGACGACTAGAAAGTAAATGAAGCTCTTGGTAGATTTTGAACTTGACGTGATACTTATTTTTTCCCTTAGGTTGAAAGTTAATTGATAAGGCAGCTATATAAGAGATAAATGAGAAAAAATATATGGTTTTCATAGAGGAGAAACCCGGGATAAAAGTGAGAGCTTGAAAAAGTTTTGTATTTTAAAAACTGTAAATAAATGCACTATTTACATATTTACACACATTTTCTGTCTTTATGTGTGAATATTTTAGAATTTCCGAGGTCAGTTTAAGTATTTATGTACATGTGTGTGCCTATTTTATTTTTTTGTATGTATAGTATTTTATCATATTATATAGTGCTATTTATTTTAACTTTATTTTAAAAGCATGGTTGTCAGTTTAAGGAAGGAGACCAGTGATCTGACAAGTCTCTCTATGAGGAAACTGTCACCTACCTTTAAGGCACAATACTGGTATCTTGTAATCTGATGGTTTCTGTCACTGTAACGATCCAGAGGAGTAAACATAATGCTGAAGGGTCCTGCCCACTGGCTAAACAAGATGAAAAGATGGTGCCTCAGGCTTTGCTGGGGGAAGAGAAATCTCCGATGATGAACTGTGGAGAAACACAAGAGTTAGTTAGCCTGTAAGACTGAATACAGTCTGTATCACTATTATCTATACTTCTTAAGTCTGAGGGAAGGAACACTTTCATTTCCTAAGTCCTATTTTCTTTAGGTAATAAAATAGGTATTTAAAAAGTGAAGCTTGGGTGGCACCTGTGGCTCAATAGAGTAGGGCGCCAGCCCCATATGCCGGAGGTGGCGGGTTCAAACCCAGCCCCAGCCAAAAACTGTAAAAAAAAAAAAAAAAAATTAAAAAGTGAAGCTCAATTTTCTTTCTCAGGGTGCACTCCTCCTCTCCTCTTGTTGCAGTTAGTAGCACCTTGACTCTGAGGAGCAGGGATGGGACCCACAGAGACTATTTTCGAATCCATACCTAGGAAAACTACCACATTTCCCGCTCAGCTGTCGCTTACATATAAAATGCCACTGGTCTCTGGGAAGAGCTCTGAAACACAGTATAGACTTGGGAGGGACACATTTCAAACACACTTTAACTGAAGAGGCTGACTCCTGTCTTAGTTTAGCGTCATCAGAGATGAGGATTGGTAAGAAGGTTATTAACACCAAAATAACGAGAAGCAGAGACATTGGTTGAGCTGAGTTGTGCCTTTTTGTAATTATGTCCCAAATTTTAAATTAGAATAATTTTTACAGTAAACTGTCCAGCTACTTTATTTCTATGCTTCTATTAGAATGAAAACATTTGATACCTATTTATGCTGTGAAAGATAATTGTCTTTATAAGGTAATGTTAAACCAAATGTAATATATAGTAAGCTACATAGAAATCTATTTAATGTGTAGCCAGGGAAGAGTCAGAGAGAGGAATACTGCTGTCATTACTTGTTCACAGATTAGCACAGAGACAATGTGAAAATAATGAAGCCTATGTGAATGTTCCTTTTGAATTACTTCCTTCATTATAGAAATCACATAAGTTGGGCAGCGCCCGTAGCTCAGGGGGTAGGGCTCCAGCCACATACACTGAGCCTGGTGGGCTAGAACCTGGCCCAGGCCAGCTGAAATCAAAAATGACAATTGCAACAAAAAAGAAATAGCCGGGTGTTGTGGCGGACACCTGTAGTCCCAGCTACTTGGGAGGCTCAGGCAAGAGAATCACTTAAGCCCAAGAGTTTGAGGTTGCTGGGAGCTGCGATGCCATGGCACTCTACTGAGGATGACACAGTGAGACTCTGTCTCAAGAAAAAAATCACATAAGTTCATTTTCAGATGGGAACCAAAATAAAGAATAGAGATGACCAGCATAATGCCATATTTAATTCCTATTGTTCCCTTCCCAATTCTGCTGCATTGTAACAATCTGGTCTCAAGTGTATTTCCAAGTATCTTAAATAAATAATTATATCCAAGACCTGTATACAGGCCAGTGGGATTAAAAAGGAAAACACAGTAATAAATAATAAATAAACATGAAAAGTAACTTGCAATGATGTATCATTATACCTGGAACACACTGAATCAAGTTGGCCACCATTGCACTAAAATGTGCCCGGATATCTTTAAGAATTTCAACTTCTTTGTCATTTTCTGCTTCAAGGAGCATGCGAGTCAAGTCTACGTATTCTAAGAACAAAGCTCCCAGGGCTAACGTATCCCGTTCTAAGGCTCCATTTGTGCTGGAATACAGAAAGGTTAAACTTTTAGATGACCAGTTTTTACGTCCAAGTGGTACATGCTTCATGAAAAACAAGATTCACTGTCAGAAATCACACACTAAACTTGTTCCTAACCTATAGGTGGATTAAATAGAAGATGAAAAAAAGAAAAGGAAAAGCAAGCTTTTTTTTTTTGACTCTTCTTAGTTAATGGTATCATATTTTAAAAAAGAAAACAAAAGAGAGAGAGAGACACACACACACACAAAAGACCAGTTTGGTGAGGAGAGATCAGCTCAGTAGAATTTTGACACTACCTGTCACTTATTACACCAGCATCAGCCAAAAGTTCAAAAATTCGAAGTAGCTGTAGCCTCAACAAGTCTCGCCGTTCTCGGCGTTTCTTGTTCTGTGTAGAAAGAGGTGATATCCTTATGAACACAGGCAAAACAATATTAACTGTAACAACTGTATGAAAGACAGGCCTAAGTGAGTCAATTTCAATGCTCTAAGCATAAAAGACAACAGGTATTTTTCTTTCTTCCAAATCGTTAGAGAAAATGCTTGCTATTACAGGCTGTAAGAGAAACAGATCGTAAGTGAGTCAATAAATATCTATTGGGTGGGCAGGTTGAGAACTAAGCTGGTGCTCCCAGTACCTGCTGAGCTGGTGCTCCCAGTACCTGCTGAAAGGCTCAACAACCTGAAACACGGGGAAGGGACAGGGATGCACAGAATCCCCCCAGCCCTTGGTCCCAGAGGTAACACTCTTCTTTTTCAAATTGCTAAATTTCTTCTATTTCTTATGTCATAGCTACTATATGGGAAGCTGATTTTTTCTTTTAGTCTTATTATTTTTATCCTGGTACATTGTAAGTTCATCCTTTTCAGAATTCTCTTTGGGGAAGATAACGTTGAGGAAAACGCTTCCTATGCCAAATAAGACAAATTACATTCTTGGTCCTCCAACTCTTTTTAAATAACAAGCAAACAAACCAAACACTGAAGTTATATTTAACTCAAACTTCTTGTAAAAGAATGCAATGACTTTTCATATATGTGACTATTTAAGTTGTTTTGCATTTATACATTTAGGATATGAAATCCACAGAACGGTATCACATTAAATTCTCAATACTGAAAATAATAAAAATAACAAAAGTTGAAATATTAAGTGTCATTATTAAAAAGTGGTTGAGTGTTTGTATTCTTTAGGGGAAACTATTTGGCCTGGTTGAAATTCACACCCTTGTCCAAGTAAATCAAGCTTCAGTTATTTAAATTTGAAATCTTACCTCTGGTCTTCGTTCCAGGGCTTCTTTCATTAATGGATGAAGTTCTTCTACCAGTTCTCTATGGAGAAAAGAGGGCAGCATTTGAAATTTATTGTTATTGACAACAAACTGGTCACTAAAATCCTGTCTATCCACTCAGTCCTAAATCACTTGCTTTTTTCACTTTGCTTCTAACATCAAAATCTCTGCTGACCTCATGATTTCCCTGTTGTGGTGAACTGGAAACAGGTATTGGCCTATACTTCACGTTATTGGTTTTGGTTCCAGTACTCTGCATATAATTTTGGTTCAATACATATTTACTGACTTGATTTTGATTTAATATTCTGGAATCATCTATGGCAAAAAACCCTTTGTGAACAATGAAACAATATTTTCCAAGTGTTTACTACATTCAAAGCACTTTACTACAAACTATGGAACTGAAGATAAATAAAATTGAGCCACTGTACAGACATTGTCAGTCTAATTACAGGAAAATGAATGGGTGTAGTTACTATGTAATACCTTTGGCATCTATGCTCAGGAGACTGACTTATAGCTGATTTTATAAAGAAAGTCTTTTTCGATTTCAGAGCCAAATTTCTTTATCTGAGATATATGATAAATACCAGTATGGCAAGTACTAAAATAGTGAGGTTCTCATAGAAATCTTTTATCTTGCATAGTACAAATACATCTTTTTTTTTTTTTTTTGAGACAGAGTCTCACTTTATCCCCTGGGTAGCGTGCCATGGCATCATAGCTCACAGCAACTTTTAATTCTTGGGCTCAAGAGATCTTGCTGCAATTTTTCTATTTTTTAGTAAAGACAGGGTCTCACTTTTGCTCAGGCTGGTCTTGAACTCCTGAGCTCAAGCAATCCCTTGCGTTAGCCTCTTCGAGTGCTAGGCTTACAGGGTGAGACACTGCACCCAACCCTAAAGATACTTCCTAATCACATTAATACATACCTTATGTTGCATATTTAGAGGGTGCCAAAAAGTATACACATTTTAAGAAAGCACAAACTATATTAAAATTGTAATACTCAATATATGCTGATAATAAAAGATGAACACAAATCATGTTGAGCACCTCTTATAATTGCAGAAGTCAAACGTGTCTTGAGTATTACAAATATATGAGAAATATTAAGAGGGCAGATATGGAAAAAAGTCTTAGGTTCTCGGGGAAAGAGTCCTTGGGGATTTCAGGGATTGTTATTGTTATCTTCTTATCTATCCACATGATACTATGGCTTAACTAATTAACCAATAACTGGTAAAACACTGGTTAACTGCCACCTACTGGGGTCAGAATCCACTACTACTTTTTTTTAAGGATAAAATCTGACTCTAACCATGAAATAACCTAACAGGTCTTTCTCAGTTGCCTTTAAAATGCTTTGCACATCTTTATTTTTCAAATAAGGTTACTCACAGACTACTGGGAATATTCTCTTTTCTTACATGGAAAATTTCATTTGAGATTTTATTTGTCCTTTGAAGTGTTTATTGCTTAGCTAAAGTCTTCAGAGGCAGCCCAAACTAACATTTTATGATACCTCTTTCAAAAGGCTCTGACAGCTTCAGACAGAGAGGTTATATGACTGCAGATATGAATAAAGAATACAGAAAGCCATGTATGCTGGTTCCATTAAGGCAGCCATACCCTATGGAGAAATCAACTAATGCCACAGAACCCTCTGGAAAGTGTCTCTGTGTAAATGGCATGGCAGGCTGATATTATTTTGGCATTGTAGCCTCTCATTGTAGACTGAGGATTGATGCTGAAATACTTTCATTTGTATTTATCTATCAAAAACAAAGCTTGCTAGCAAACTAAACTCTGAGAGGCAAAATCAAAGTTGCTATGACTAAAGCCAAATGTGAGGTAGGTGCAGGGAATTCTTGTTATACACATCAACTAAAGAAAGAACAAAGAGAACCACACAAAGCTTACAAACTCTCCAGGCACATGCCAACATGCAGACTCAAACTTGAGTGAAAAGGGGAATCACGAGGGGAGCCATATGTATGAATTTAGAACAACTCATTAAAACTACTGTACCTGAAAACAAGGGAATTTGTTCTTCCAAATCCTAAAACTAAGGACTCTGTGATCTCAATGCTCTCTAGTCTCATCAAAGGCACCAACTGCTTTAACAGAACTCCCACTGATGGTGTACCTATGGCCTGAAACAAGTTGATTAAAAGTGAAAAAGAGGTAACATGGTAATCAAAGGTTCCCTCAATCAAACGGTGATCCCACATTGTAACAATTTCAAAGTACTGAACCACATCCCAAGGCACTGCCATCATATCAGGGAAAAAAGAAAACCCCACAAATTTCATACAGCAAAACGAATGCATTTTTTCACCTGGGACACGGATTCTAAACAAAATTTTGTATGACAGTCTTCTTTATTAAGCCATTTAAGTCCACAAACCATCTTTAACGAAATAATCAAGGTATGGTTGAAGGGTGAATATTTGGTGAGGAGTGAGAGCCATGTGGTGTGTAGGACACGAACCAAACCTCAAGGCACAAATAAACACAAGTCACTCTATGGTCTTAAGCAAAGTTTCTCAACTTATTTTTATCTTCAGTTCCCCACTTGTCAGGGAAGAGCAATAAATTATTCACGTAAACACTCAATGGAATTTAGAAATGTATAGGATGAAAATTTGATCCCATAATACTCCAGATGGCAGGCACAGTGCAATTTGCACTGTGAACTCTAGACAAACAAGCTAAAAAAAAACCTTACAGAATAATTCTTCTGAAGCATGTCATGTCACCTTGTTATCGTAGCTCACTGTACCATCAGGTGTGGTCGCCATTATTTCTGGAGTGGAAGCTCTTAAGTGTCCTGGGCTCATAATACTGGGTTTTGCAACTCCAAAACAAAGAATAAGGTAATTTCTCCACAAGGTAACATAGTTGTCTCCACTGCCGGCAGTGCTGGTTTTCTTGGCATTAATTGGGCTACTAGAAATATGGAGTCAAAAACAAGAATGAAACTGAGTTCTGGATTTTAAGCACCTCATATTAATAAAGATCAGATCATAGGAAATGCTCTAATAGAGATAAACAACTGTCCATCAAGGATGTTGGTCAAAGCATATCCACATTGGATGAGAAGTTGAGTAGAAGAAATTGAAGGTCTCTTTCACCAAGAATAGCCTGAGATTACAGATTTGGACAGGATCATATTGATTATTAAGTTAAAAAAAAAACCAAGCTCTAGACAAAATTTTTTAAATATGATTTGACTTAATGTTAAGAATTCTCTAGTGGGAAGTTCAGAAATTTGAGATGATCATCATACCCAATTGTTGCATAAAAGGAAAATTTAAGAGGACAGATGGCAAGACAAGAAAACCAGAGGAAAGCACATGGATCCCTTACTTTGGGTCCACCAGGGGCATCACCGACTGGAGCCGAGTGAAGGCATAAGGCCAGGCGTAGCTGAGGGCTGTCGGGCAGTGTTTGGGCAAGTTCTCCTGCCGGAGGAAACTGAAGAGGCAGAGGACCCAGGGGTCTTTGACAGACTGTGCAAATATCCAGACATGGGAAGGGCTCTTCACATCATAATGGCTATTGACCAGGACTGCGTTCCATTCCACCAGCCACTGCAGGTCCACGTTGTGGGTCAGCGGTAACGTTGCCTGCAGGTACAGAGGGGAGGTGGTGAATCAAAGCTGAACTGAAATTCTCCATCCCCACCAGGCTTCGCCTGAGTGTTCTTTCTTGCAAACTGCTTTTCCTGACCACCCCTGCACTGGGCTGGCTTTGGATTTGGATACCCACCCTGCACCCACCTCACATGACCTTGGTGTGTAGTCACCAGTACTTCCTGTGCTACAGGATAAGGAGCTTAAGGGCAAAGTTTAAGGACTGAGGTCATATTCTGGCTGGTTAAATGTCACATACCACTGTGCATCAGTACACAGAAGCTGTTCACAAAGTATCTGTTAAACAAATACGTGGCATTAAAATAAACATGATTTAAACTCAACCATGTATTTACCATTTTAAAATTCTGAGAAGTTATTCATCTTCAAGATTCATAAATGTGTTTTTATCCCTGTAACTAGTACATATTTAACATGTGATTTTCTTTATCTTTACTTAGTCTGAAATACCTTCCCTTTGATTTAGAAAGATGGCTAAGCACAATTCTTTTTAGGAAAAGCATTCTACTGATGATTTTTGAGATAAGATACCTACTTATTCTTGTCCTCTGGTTAGCAAGCCAAAATAATGCATTTCAAAAGCTCTTGAAAGATAAATATTCATATTGCTAAGTTCTTATATTTCATTTTATTTTAAGTCCAGGTAAATCAAAGCTTAGGGGACACCAATTTCCAAATAATCTGGCTGCCCTGACATGAGAGGAAATTGCCTTTATGTTTGTTAGGTGTCTAAAGTGATGCATTTTATCTGCGGGTACAAGCGTTACAACAGCAGCCTCAGGGGTTAATGGAGCATAAGGGGCAGAGCTGGGGCTGTAAGGCCTGAGAAATGAGGTTCCGAAACAGGCACTGCCCAAAGCCTGTGACCTGGAGAAAGTACTGACCATCCCAGTTCTACCTAGGTAATCTATGAGTTGGGAATCATGGTGCTGATCTCACCTAATCTTTCAGGGAATTATGTCAGACAACAGCTGTGAAAACACCTGGCCCAAGGCACATCCTGCTTCTCCCACTCCTACTGCCTCCTTTCTAAGCTTCTGATGAGTGTAGTATTGCTGACCTAGTTACCCTTGCTCGCACTGTGATGCCAGGAAAGAGAATGAATGAACGCACATGAACAAAATAGAATAGTGGGCAACTCTGACATGTATGTACAACACTTACAGTTAACAATTTGATTTAGTCTGTCTCCCTAAATTAAACACCACCCTACAATTATAAATTCTAAAAGAAGCCGCTCTGCTTCACTGTCACTGTTAGGGTCTGCACTGTTATTATTCCGACTAGGAGCAAGAAGAGGGTTACTGAAAAGAGCAGTCTGTTCAAGCTCAGAAAAGGCCAGGGAAAGCACACAGATGTCTTTAGATGTTGTATTCATTTATAATTATCTGGCAAGCATCTGCCTCAGGCATCAGTAATATGGATTGTGCAAAGAGTCCTGCCCTGCCTCCCTTCAGCTATTTCACTGAAATAGCTCCAGATTCTATTACTATACTTTTATTTTTAAAAAGTCAGATAATCAAAAGCAGTTTCAATTTCCCTTCTACTTGTTCAGGAAATTGAAAGCTGCCAATATACTTTTTAAAAGGAAGAGTGTATTTGGGCAGCAGAGAAAACTCTCCTGGATTCAGAGTCCAAACAAGGTCAAGTCTGGCTCTACCACTTTCCTTCTATGGAACTATGGACTGACCCCCTTCACAGTTCTCAGTCTTGATAATTGTGAGGGTCAAACAAGACCATACATATGAAACCATATTGCAGAACAGAAAGCAGCCACACAAACAGAAGTTACACAGTAAGTGTACAGTAAAATATTAAGTCTTAAAAGTACAGTGAATAAGGCAAATTATTTCTTGTTAGGCATCTGGAGCAATTCATCTTGAAACTGCAGTTTGTAAAATATTATCTATGTTCCTAAGGCTAACATTTTGTTTGAAATTTATCTGACTTTCTCCTAAGCTAACATTTGAAAAAACAGTCTTATTTTTATAAGTACCTTTGGGTCACTTTATTAAGCTGACATAAAAAATTCTTCCACATACTTTTTTCTTTTTGCTGTTTTTGGCCAGGGCTGGGTTTGAACCTGCCACCTCCGGCATATGGGGCCAGAGCCCTAATCCTTTGAGCCACAGGCGCTGCCCCATGGTGACTCTCTTTTTCAGATAGGTCCAGAGCGTATATCTCAGAACCACTAGCAACTTAAATGTGTACTTACCGAATCCGAAACTGCTACATGAATAAAACTTTCGAGAATGGAAGAACTGAGGTGATCCATGACATCAATCATAGGCCTGTCATCATCCTGTACAAAGGGGAGGTGATTACTTTCCACAGGAAAATGAATCCTCCCCACCGACCCCACCACCTCCATCTGGTACATGAAGCGGACCAGCACATGAGACAGTGATAAGGGTTTTCTCACAGAAAAGTGAGTGCCCAAATGACGAAAGGCAGTAAGCAAAATTCCCTGTGGTTCTGAGCTCTGTCTTCCAAGTTTAGTGGAAGATAATTAGAACTCCAGTTGCACATTGTCCGGAAAAGACATATACCTGAATTTCCAAGACTCATACAAGGCACATGAGAGTCTAAATACTTACTCATAACACAGGTTGTTCACCAGAGGGTTCATGTCATTAATTTCAAGGAATGAAACCCCCACAAGGATGTGTTATGTCACTGTTGACACGCTACTCATGTGAAGTCACAGGACTGCTACATTAACTGACACACTGTTGACTCTGACTGAATTTTAGTTCTGCAGAAACTAAAGACTGACTATATGTTCTTTGTGGTATTCAGGTGGCCTACCGCTATTTAATAAAAGAAGCAAATTGGAAAGGTCAGAAGAGAGGGTTTCTTTCTTTTTTTTTTTTTTTTGTAGAGACAGAGTCTCACTTTATCACCCACAGTAGAATGCTGTGGCGTCACAGTTCACAGCAACCTCCAACTCCTGGGCTTAGGTGATTCTCTTGCCTTAGCCTCTAGAGCAGCTGGGACTACAGGCCCCCACCACAACGCCTGGCTATTTTTTTGTTGCAGTTTGGCTGGGGCTGGGTTTGAACTCACCACCCTTGGTATATGGGCCCGGCGCCCTACCCACTGAGTCACAGGTGCTGCCCAAGAGAGGGTTTCTTATTGAAAATTCTTCTACATGAATAATATGTAAGTGAATATATACACAGTTGCTGTTATACAGAAACTTGGGAAGATAAAATTACTTACATAGAAGCCCTATGGGAAAGCCCAAGAATGTCTGTATTCATGTGTGAATAAGAATGGCTTAAGGAAAGTTGTGGCTTGTCAAAGAAAGCAACATATGACAAACATCCCTGGCACAGTCTGGCTGACTAGCAGTTAAGAATACGGGGTATGATAAGCACATCCATAGGTATGGCTCTGACTTCTGGCTCTATCATTTCCTATTGTCATATACATTGACTTGAGTGAAGTAAGGCATTTAACTTCTCTAAACCTCAGCCTTAGTACCTGTCGATTGGGGTAATAACAAAACCAATTCTCAGGTTGTTATTAGGGTTAAATGACACATACAGAGCAACTATTATTATCCTTACTTTCATAATTAGAAACATAATGGTGGATAGCTAAAACATCACAGGCCTCAAGATTTACCAGATGCCAGAGATGTGCCTCTGAAATGTCTCAGAAATCTATATGAAGAATGTGAACAGAAAGGACTGTGATGAGCTTAAAAAAAGTGACCATATTGAGGGCCATAAACTCAAGACTAATGATTTTTTTTTTTGGGAGGTAGTCTCTCACTGTGTTGCCCTCAGTAGAGTGCCATGGTGTCATAGCTCACAGCAACCTCCAACTCCTGGGCTTAGGCGATTCTCTTGCCTCAGCCTCCCTAGTAGCTGGGACTACAGGCACCCGCCACAATGCTTGCCTAATTTTTGTTGTTGTTGCAGTTTAGCCTGGGCTGGGTTCAAACCTGCCACCTTTGGTATATGGCGCTGGTGCCCTACTCACTGAGCCACAGGCACCGCCCAAGACTAATGATTTAAAGGAAGAACATGGGAAGTTGCAATTTTCTAAAGAAGCATGTGACATTAAAAGCTGTTTTTTTCCCCTTTCATCAGCTCATGCAAAGGGTTTGGCCCCCCCATGCCAGGAGGACATAGGCAGCAACATCTGAACCAGGGTGCACAGCAGCTGACCAAGTGTGGCAGCTCGGCTGGAGGTGGCCATGTTTGGCAACTGATTCCCTCTCCTATCTCAAGAGGACAGGTTTCTTTCTTTCTTCTCTCTCTTTTTTTTTTTTTTATTAATTCATAGCTGTGTACATTAATGTAGTCATGGGGTACAGTGTGCTGGTTTTATATACAATTTGAAATATTTTCATCAAGCTGGCTAATAAAGCCTTCATGGCATTTTCTTAGTTATTGTGTTAAGATATTTATATTCTGCATTTTGATGCCATTCTTCTACCATCATCAATATTGAATAACTTTCAATTATCCAGACTATTTGGTACCTTGATCATTTTAAATGGGATGCTTTATTTTTTCAAGTTTATTCTTTAATATAAATGTAACAGTATCTTCTTAATTAGATGAGTGCTGGACCCTATGAAGGCAATGATCCATAACCAAAGCTCACTTCTCATCAAACCAGCAACCCTTACACGACCAGAAATGGTCTTTTCTCAGGAAATACGACTTATCTTGACTTATCTTGAGTAGATTCAGAATGCTATTACATAACTAAAATCCCGAAAATGAATAAAAAATTATGTATGGACCTGATGTGTGACATAAAAGTATATAAAGTAGTAATGCATTATTTGGAGTTTTAGTCAAAAATTTCAAGACAGTTGAAAGAAATGAATTGGAAAATTCAGACGAATCATCCATACCTCAGGCTGACCCAGGGCAACAAACAAAGCTCGGATTTCCTTGAGTATTAAAACAGACAATTTACGTGTGGCCACTTGGAAGCTGCAGAGTAAAACCAGAGCAAACCCTTCTACGGCATGGAGCACGCTGCAGTGGGGACCTCGTTCCGACTGAATCCTGTGGCTGGAGCCATTGGGAATTAGCTGTTGAGCAACAAGAACAACATTCTCTGTTAAGCAAAACATCCATGAAAGCAGAAGGATACTCTTTATATGTACATCTTTTGGAACATTTCACCTTGTAATATTAAAATAAATGACAATGGCTTAGAATCAGACATGTCAGTGAATTCATTAGTATTCATGAAATATCCTAGATCCCTTTTTGTTTTTCAGACCAGTTGTTGCTTTGGAATACCATCAGCCATCTGTTACCTCTGATGAAAAATAACTTTTCAAAGGCTATTAATATTAATAAAAACAAAACTTCTTTCATCTATAACCACATGGGATTGCACTATGTATACAATTAAAGTGACCTCAATTTGTTTTCACTTAAATTCTCCACAGACTTCTCTATAGACTATCAAATTTTCTCTAAATTCTCCACAGACTTCTCTATAGATTATTATAGCAAATTTTCAAATAGTGACTTTCTATCCAGACTTGCTTACTTGTTTGCATGTTAGATTCTCATTTAGGTTTTGCACATTTTTTGTGTTGGATTCTGAAATTTCCTAAACCACAACCAAATGAATCTAAAGCAAAAGCAAGCCAGACAACAGGTGTTGTCAAGAGTCTATGACAAGGTGTTGTCAACAGGCTATGACAAGAGTCATAGGTGATCCTTGTTTTTCTACCTATCTTCTGTGGGCGCATGGAGAACACAAAGAAGAGGCAGGGAGCTGAATGTCATCTCTGCATTTAGCCCTTCTGGGATTCCAGCTGTTCCTCCACAGTCCCTAGATTCTCAGTTACGCTCCTTTCCAGCCAGACCCTTTTCTCCATCCGTTCATGGCCAATGCCAAGTCACCACTGCCCTGATTCTCCTCTGAAAACTTCCTCAACACATGCTCCAAAATGTTACTGATTTTTACCATTTAGGACCGAGGCGTGAAAGGACAAGGAAACCACAGGAGTGCACCATCTTGTCTGTGGATACTGGACAAAGCGACCAATACATTGCTGACTAAAGTTAACTTGTTTATATATGGTGGCCATAAAGTTCACATGAAATTTATTTTTTATTTTATTTTATTTTATTTTATTTTTTTGAGACAGACTCTCACTGTGTCCCCCTCAGTAGAGTGCCATGGCATCACAGCTCAAAGCAACCTCAAACTCATAGGCTTAAGCGATTCTCTTGTCTCAGCCTCCCAAGTAGCTGGGACTATGGGCGCCCTCCACAATGTAGGCTATTTTTTTTGTTGTTGTTGTTTCAGTTGTCACTGTTTAGCAGGCTTGGGCTGGGCTCGAAGCCACCAGCCTCAGTGTATGTGGCAGGCGCCCTACTCACTGAGCTATGGGCACCAAGCCAAGTTTATGTACAATTTAAAATAGTGTGCATGAACCTATCACACGTGAACCTTACGGCCACCCTGTATATCCACATCCTCCTCCATATCCATCTCCAGCCCTGACTCCCAGATCTATAATCGTTTGCTCTTACCAATAGATTTGGGATAATTCTCCAGAAAAAAATAATTCTATTCTGTAAATGACCTTGTTGATATTAACAAATCTGGCCTAAAAGATATTGTGCCCTGAGATTCTTGTTCACGATTTATGCCGGTGGAAGAACTAAGGGCTACCCCAAAGTAAATGATCCTTGGAGGTTGGAAGTGAGAATCACAGAGGTTCCCAGGGCTGCCACTCTTTCACATATCAATACTTAAAAGAACATCAATCGGCAGGGAGGGTGTGAAAATCACCTCTGAGTTCCTGATTTTGTTGGCTTGTTCGTAGACTTTCCCTTGCGTTTGTATGACCAGTTTCCACTGGGTGAGCAGCTGCAGCAGCAACTTGAGGGACGAATCGAGGAGTGTGTGATGCATGTCGTTTACTTCCCTCAGCAGGAAGTTGGTAAAGCCAAACAGGACATCTTCTCTCCAGTCGGAGAAGTCAACAAGCAAACCCTGAAGAGAATTCTGTGCAATGTGTCGCAGTTCATCATCCATATGAATAGAGAGTCTGTGGAATGAATGAAAGACATACAATAATTTACTTTAGGAACTGTTCTTCTATATAGCTCTGTTTCTACTTGTGTCTTAAAAAATGGGTTTCCCTCACCTTTTGCTTAGTACATGACTTAAGTGACTATTTAAAAAAAAACCAAAAACTTTTAAGGTTAGATTTACTGAAGACTTGCAAAGATAACACAAAGCGTTTCCATATAGCTTTCACCCAGCTTATATCACCATTAACATCTTATATAACCATGGTACATTTTCAAAACTAAGAACTTAACATTGGTACAACGCTATTATCTAAACTACAGACTTTATTTGGAGTTCACCAGTTTTCCACTAATGTCCTTTTCTTGTTTCAGAATGTAATCCAATGTACTATATATGAACACTTTTTAATACATTTAACTACACAATAAATTAGGATCAAACCCAATTTTTAAGAAACCTGTATTCTAGAGACACTAAACAACTCATCCAGATCCAGAAGTTCACTCAAAATGAGCAATCTGAGTTAAGCCAGTGGTCCTAAATTGGTTTTGCTCCTCCAGCAATATTTGGCAGTATCTGAAGACATTTTGGTTGTATAAAATGTGGGACAGGCATCTCTTTTAGTGGGTAGAGGACAGGGATGCTGCTAAACATTCCATAATGCACAGGACAATTTTCCATGACAAAGAACTATCTGACCCCATATGTTGATAGTGCCAAGGCTAACAAACTCTGAATTAGTCAACTAAAGAACTTCAGCATATTTGTGGTTTTACCTAGAATATCATGATAATATATCAATGTCAACATTGGTATGGAGCCTTGTAATTAACAAAATGCTCTGTAGATTTTTTTCATTCATTCATTTAATAAACAGATACAGTAGAATCTCCACAGCTGACCACCTCCCTACATGGACCACCTCCTTAAGCTGACCTAATTTTCATGGACCAGACATGCACCACATGTACATATCAGTACAGGAGGCCTAGTTCCTTATGTTGACCATCTCTGTATGTTGACCAGTTTGTTACAGTCCCTTGGGTGGTCAACTTACAGAGGTTCTACTATACTTTTGAGACCCTCCTAAGACTCAGGCACTGTGCTCACTTTGTACAGCCTTAGGATGCAGAGTTCAGAGTGGCTGTGTCTACTGGGTGAGGTGCCTGCAAGAGTGAGGAGAGGCAGGAACAGTGCTGGAGCAGGAATAGACCACTCACTGAAAGGTCTTTGGGGGTACTCTTTGGGGGCACCCAGGGGGCAAGGGGTTCAGAGTGTGTGCTCTCAAATCAGAATGCCTGGATCAGTGTCTTGCCTCTGTCACTTATCAGCTGTGTGACCTCAAGCTAGTTACTTAATCTCTCTAAGCCTCAGATCCCTCATGGATTAAAGTGGGACACTAACTGTAACTGCATCCCTTAAACGTGTTGAGAGGTTCATTGAGATGGTCCATGCACAGTGTTTAGTACCATACTGAGCATGCAGTAAGCACTCAGTAAGTGCCAGCTATTATTAGAAGAAAGTGAACTTTATCCTGAAAGTTATAGGTGAAGAAATATAACTAGATTCACATTTGAGAAAAGAGTCAGGCAAGAATAGGGAAGGTGCCTTGGAGAAGAAACCAGCTAAGGTCATTGCAATGACATAAGCAATGAGTGTGAGGGGCTGACCCAAGGCAGAGAAGTATATAGTGAGGCAAGGACAGATGGAGGTCAAAGATGTAGGACTAGTTTCTAGGACTCAGTAGCCTAGAGATGTTTAGTGTCACAGAAGAATATGGATGAGCCAACGGGACTCCCATAAATAGGGCAGATGTTAGGTATTATCCCCAAGAAGCAGCAGAAGAACTTATGGCCCAGAATGGTTAAGGAGTTTGCTAAAAGTCACTTGGTTGATTAGGGAAAGAGGCAGGATTTCAGTCCAGAACTTCTAATCCTTAATCCTAAATATTCTCCACAAAACAAGTCTGGTTACAAGTTGTATATACTGGTTATATACTTTGACGGTATTTCAAAACCTCGATGATAAAATTCCTTTCTTATTCTCTAAAGCAGTGGTTTTCTACCAGTGTAACACAGCACACTGATGTGCCATGAGAGGATCTCTGGAGTGCTGCAAAAAAGTCTAAAGATCATTAATCAAATTATTTTCAAAAGAAGTCCAAAGCACAGTAAGCATATTCTTTTTTTAAATCAACATAATTTAAGTGTGCCACAGAAGTTTAACTATAGGTTCAAACGTGCTGTGAAATTAAAAAACAAAAAAGGTTGAAAAACACTGCTCTGTGTTTTTCACAAGCATGAAGTATACCAATTGGTCCAAATTTGACAAGAATAAACCAGAGCAAGATCTCTTTAGTTCACAGACTTACACTGAGCCATGAATTAGAGCTTCCGCCTCAAAAACACATAAAATCTACAAAGATGCTGAGAAGGAAGATCTAAGTTGATTCTTAGGAACATCCTACACAATTAAATCTATAGTTCTCAAGTAGGTGATGGTTGCTGGGAGAAAACGTAGAGGCCCTTAACCTGAGCTTCTGATCAAGGATTATCTACGGCAGGAGTTTTCAAACTTTCCTTTTATTTAAATCAGCAGCACATCCCTTTTTTTCCAACAAAATTTTATGCAGAGCTCTTTGATGGATAATTTTATGTGTCGATTTGGTTGGCCATGGTGTCCAGATAAGTGGCCAAACAGTATTCTGGGTGTTTCTAGGAGGGTGTCTTTAGATGAGATTACCACTTAAATGGGCAGACTTTGAGTAGATCAGATTGCTCTCCACAATGTGAATGGGCTTCATCTGATCAGCTGAAGGCTTGACTAGAACAAAGGACCAAAAAGAGGATTTTCCAGCCTTTACATTTTGTCAGCAACCTTGGTTCTTCCTGGCTGTACAGCACACTGCCTTCAGCTCCAAATGGGAAACTTGGCTCTCCTAGGCCTTCAGCCTTCTGGCCCACCGCACAGATTTTGGACTTGCCAGCCTCCATAATCACATGAGCTAATTCCTTATCATAAGTCTCTTTCTCTCTTCTATACATCCTTTTGTTTCTGTCTCTCTCTGGAAAACCCTGACTATATCTCCAATACATAATAAATACATAAAATCTGAGTTGCTCTGGTTAAAGCCGGGGTAAAAGGCCTGAAGCCCACCCATTTGGGGAGGAAATACCCCTTGACTCCTTAAGCAGCTTTGAGTCATTTTTGCAGTCTGTGGTTTGAAAACACTAGTTTGGGAAAAAGCCTTTGCAGTCATTTCTCTAACTTACATTTATTATTTGTATTTCCTGCATTTATTTCTGGCTATGGTCTTGAATGTCTTAGAAAATAAGCTTCCAGATATAATAAACTACTGTTTTTAAGGCAGGTAATAGCAGAATAACCAGACACTAACTGTTGCTAACTCATGGTAACAATAGTGGTCATTGTCATGGGTGGCATTGAGTCCCCCACAGAATTCATGCTGACTTCCTAAGCCCCAGCTCCTTAGAATATGACCTTATTTGGAAGTGGGATCAGTGAAGATGTAATTATTAATAGCTAGTTAGGGTGATGTCATACAGGACTGCAGTGGGCCCTTAATCCAGTGTGACAGGTGTCCTTATGAGAAGGGGACTTTTGTAGATAGAGAAATGCATGGGGATAACACCACGTGAAAATAAAGGCAGAGATCAGGGCGGTGATTGCATAAGCCAAGGAATGCCAAAGATCACCAGCAAACCACGGGAGACTAGGCGAGAGGCTTCGACTATTCTCCCTCATATTCCTTAGAAGGAAGTGGCCCTGAAGACACCTTTAGCTTGGAGCTTGCAGCCTCCACAGTTGTCAGAGGATTTCTGTTGCTTAAGCCACTCATTTTGTGACACTTGTTATAGCAGCCCTACTAAACCAATGCAGTTACAAAACTAGGCAGGTACCAAGAACAAAAGCCATATCAGGGTCTACTTACGTGAATGAAGCTTTTAAGTAAGGGCCCATACTTTTGGCTTTCCAAGTGAGATTAATTCTACTCTTCATCTAACTTTGCTCTCATGGACAAGCTGCAATCTAGAATCTGTTTTAACTTTGAACCCACCATGCCGATTCATTTTAAGGACTTGGATAGCCCCAGAAGATGTAAGACCAGGGAGAGGAAGTGGCTTCCAGAATAGAAAACCCAGCTGATCATAAAAGCAGAATGCCTGTAGAAGACCAAGGCCCAGACTGTCATGAAACTGAGACGGAGGAAAAATAACCCCTTAAGACAAGTCTGTGGGCAGCAGGTGAGCAGGGAGGGGAGATGCTGAGAGGGGAGGCTCTCTCCTCTGTGTTCGTTCCCTAAAGCTGCCTGGAAGACAGAATCACCATCTTTTTCACCCAGATCGGCCTCATTTTTACTTTTATTAGACTTTAATCAGATAATCACAGATTATCTTGTAAAACATTTGAGATTTAACACTATAAAACATAAAACAGGAAAAGACTCAGAATTAAATGAGAAAGATGTCCAGCCACTCTGAGCATTCAGGATCTGCAAGGAAGTGGCCTGGAGCTGGCCCACAAACTTCCAAGTCCTATTAGGTCCCCTTGGAGACAGTAGTTCCCCCAACTCCCAGGTGGCCCAACCTGAGAGATACTGGACTGGAAAAGAAAGAACAGGTTTGACTGGAAAACCAACAGGTACACTTTATATATATAAATATATGTGTATATATAAATTTAAACATATATATATGTATATATAAACTGTCCTTTGGGAGTGTTTGGTGGCAGTAATTGAAAGAGAACAGAGAGACTTTAGGAGAAAGCAAATTGTGAAGGAGTTTGACTAGTTTGGGGAAAGAAGGCAAAATTTCCAAGAACATGACGTGGCTCTCAGAAGCCTAAACTGGAGTCTCAGGCACCTGGTTACACACAAGGAAAACCACTGAGGGGTTTAACAGGCCTACACAGGGACAAAGCAGGGAAACATGCTAAGGAAGCCAATATTGCCAACGCCGATGGCAGCTGTCCTTCCCCGGCAGCTGGGAT